TTCATTCGACTGCAGGTCTCATGGTTAGCAAGGAGAAGAGTTATGTGTTCATTCTAGTGCTGTTAGAAGAAAGAGGAGGTTAATGAGACTGTTGCACTTCAAATAGGGTCATTTCCCGATGCCTTATCTTGGTCTTCCCTAGATGAGTAATGGTTTGAAGAGAAACCTGCTCTCCTTTGTTGGATAAGGTTACTGCTAAGCTCTCTGTTTGGAATGGGATGCATTTATCCATGGCAGGTAGAATTGAACTGTTTAGGTCTGTCCCTACATCTTTTTCCTATTATTGGACTGCTGCTTTCAGTTTGCCTCAATCAATTAAAAGGGACCTTACAAGGAAACTGAAATCTTTTCTCTGGGGCACAAAGGAAAACAAGGCTAAACTCCATCTACTCAATTGGAATAAAGTTTCTTTGCCTAGGAGTGAGGATGGGTATGGTTTGAAAAGGGTGGAATATATTAGCTATTTGTTGTTTAGTCTGGGATTTTTTTCAAAGTACAGATCCCTTGTGGATTGAATGGTTTAAGGCAAAATATACCAGGAAATCAAACTTTTGGACCTATGTACCAAGTTCTTAAGATTCTGCCATATGGAGATCAATGCTGCAGGTCAGAGATTTATGATGCAAAAATTGGAGTTTTCAGTAGATGGGAGCTCTTTTAATTTTCTAAGGGATCCTTGATTTAATAGGAAGATTTTAATTCAGCAGTGGCCTTATAGGGTTTGGAGATTTTGTCGAGCGAACAGAGATGACACTGTTTCAAGATTTATCAATCAGAAGCAATGGTATTTTCCTTCTTCCTTTCCTGTTGAGATTGGAGAGCAGCCGAGAGCTAAAAGGACTGTTTCTGGGCATCACAGAATAGATTGGGTTTTTGGAAAATTCAGTTTTAAATGTGTATGGAATTCCTGCAGATTAAGTGGTCAAACAACTCCTTGGAAGCACTTATGTCGGAACTCTTGCAGACCTAGGGTGGCTGTGACTGCTTGCCTAATCATTCTTGATGCTATTCCTTCTTTTACAAATCTCAAGAAGATGGGTTTTTGCCATCGGTATGTCACAGCTGTTTTAAGAGTGATGATTCTATTTATCATCCTTTTGTGCGTTGCTCTCTTGCTAGTAATATCTGGACTTGGTGGTACTCTTAATTGGGATGCAACCAGGATTTTGCTTCACTTGCGGAGTGTTTAGGTTGGTGGCAACGATTTGCTGCTGGTTCCTCTACGAGATCAAAGTTTGCTAGAGCTTTCTTTTCCTACAATTCTATGGAGTCTTTGGACAGAAAGAAATGGTAGATTTTATGTAAAGTCTGCTAGGTCTGACACTCAGATTGCTATGGATGCTACTTTGGAAGCTGCAACCCTTATGGGGCTGTCTATGGAGGACATTTTATGCCTTATGCTGAATTTTTCTGTCTTGACTTTTGTTTTATTTTTATTTCTTTCTTGTACTGGAAGTGGTTTATGTCCAGTGTCCAGTATGTTTGATGTATTGTGAGGGTATGCCCTTACTTGTTCCTTTGTACTCATTGTTTCTTTCTTTATTTAATACAAATACCCATTCAGGAAAAAAGAAAAGAGAAAGTAGAGAGAAGGAGAGGACAGAGATGATAAAAGGAGGTCAAATAGACTTTTTAATTTTATTAATAAAGAAATTTTGACTTTTTACTTTAGAATCATTAATGAATGATGGATCGGTTTCTACAGTGTTGGGCAATCACAAATGGTATATGTTAGGTTCCAATGACTAAGGTTAGCAAATTTCGTATACATGAATAATGTATTTTTAGTTAGACTAGTACGTCTTAGTTGAGAGTGAAGTGAAAGTTTACTCCAAGATGAAGATGAGCTTCAACAAAGATATAGTCTGTCAACTTCGTCAACAAATGGGTAAAAAGGTAAATTTACACCATAATGCTCTCTCATCAGTTAGTATTATGGTCATGAATTTAAATTTCAAAGTTTTCAAACTTATTTAGAATTAAACATGAGTTTTAATATATATGCATGTGATTTTGAAATTCTTTTTATCTATTAAGTATCAATAAATACCACTCACCAATCGATCGTGAGTATTGGGGATCGATCGTGGTTCCCTGATGCACAATACAGAGTACACTGGACCATTTACAATCTATAGAAATTTAGTGTCGATCAATTGTAGAACTATGTTATATCAATAGCAAGTGTCCAGTAAGGTTCATTCGATAGGATAGCTCATGACAATCGATCGAGGTCTTGTAATGCAACAATCGTGAACTGTTAAGTCTCGATCTATAGGACAGCAGATGGCTATCTATCGTGGACTCCTTTGGATCGATCGTGGCATGCAGAAAACAGAGTTATGCTAGGATTTAAATTGCTGAATCATGAACTAATCCAAATACTTCCTAGGATTGTTTATAAACAGTACTGATCTCTGAAACCTAGACAATGCATTCAGAGAGCTTTTTTCATAAATTCATATATTTCTAAAGCTTGAACATTTTTGTTTGTTTTTCACAAGGATCAAAACCTCATGTTCATTATATACTTCATATTGCTGAGAGTTTTTCTTGTGAGAGATTTTTTTCTTTTAGTAAATGTTTTTTTGGCAAGAATTAGAGTGCATATTTTTGTTTTTCCCCATTCATCATACATTCTTGTATTGGTGAGTAGATGTGTTTTTGGTGTTAAAACATTCATTGCTAAGCAACAAGATCAATTTAACACTCATCAGACCAAACAACCAGATTCATTGGTGAGTAGATGTGTTTTTGGTGTTAAAACATTCATTGCTAAGCAACAAGATCAATTTAACACTCATCAGACCAAACAACCAGATTCTTGTTTCAACTAACTAGTGGTTGAGATCAATCAATGAAGAAGCAGGTTCGAGAATACTAACTGTTATAGACTGAGAAATTGATGACCTAGAGATCTGAGGGTACTGAAGATTTGGTATTAGCTGTGTCGAGAGATCAATTAGGAGTCCGAGAGTACCGAACTGTGACCTGATTGTACATCTCTTTCTTCATAGTGGATTGATTTGCCGGACTAGGTCCCGTGGTTTTTTAACCCTTTTTGAGAGATTTTCCACGTTAAAATCTGGTGTGACTTTACTGCTTTATTACTGCATTATTATTGCTTTTAGTGATTTTGTTTATCGATATCTGCAATAATATCTTTGTTTGTTTTGGAAGGCAATATAACCAGATTAATGGTAAATTTTAAATTGCTTAAAAGTTCCACAAGACCTATTCATCCCCCTTCTAGATCTAGGTGATCCAGACGATTCTTGCACACTTTATATCTGATTACTAATGTTTTGTCTTAGTTGATTATCTCAACGGTATAAGGGTATAATATTCACAATATTCAAAATATATGTCAGGCGCAATGCGCGTCATACATTTCCATTCATATTTCAATGGCAAACTGGTGGTAGTGGGCTAATTGCAAAATTTTGGATAAATTTAACAGGTTATTAGACGAGAATAATTCATGGGGCCTTATGTGCAATATTTCAAATTTTGCTCTAAAAAAAATGATATTGACAAATGATAGTAATAAAGTAGTGTCGCTGATCATTTCTTATATCCTATATTTTCAAGGATAGAAGCTCCTCAATTTCCAATTATCTGTTTGTCTTTCTCAACTTCAGTTTTCCTGAAGTAGTAACTAATCCGATAGTTCTTGCAAGTTTCTAGAGATATGTGAAAATGGCTTGGTTTAATGGCTCTTTAATTTCCTACAAATAATATTATGGTGAACTTATGTCTTAAAATTATAAAAATTCATAACAAAAGATGGAGCTAGGAAAATACATAGAAGCATGAACGTGTCTGATAACTACAAATATTTTGGAGACGAAGGAAAACCAAATGAAAGATGCAAAGACAAATGGAACTTTACTTCAGGAAAATGTCTTAACATATTGAACTGTAAAGGTATTTTACAGCTACATGCTATTGAAGCATCAGGAAATCTCTTCCCTGAAAGTTTTGCAAAATTTTGTCAAAGAAACATTACACTACAATTTGTGACTCTTTGATGCTGTGAAATGTTCATCAGGAATGAGTTTTCATAAAATTTCAGGGGCTGACCATCAAATCTAAGAAATCCATGGAAGCAGGTTTTGTACCAAGAACAAGATTTTGACAAAATAAAAAAAATAAATAAAAAGAAGATTTACCCGGATAATGTTATTCTTTATGAGAGCTAACTGGAATCAGAATCAATATATAATTTTTCATTCATGGTGTGGTTGCACTGTCATTGGCTAAGTACATAAGAATCATGGCAAATAAATGGCTCTCGAGTTTAGAAAACATTTTGTTTGCAGTTGATTTATTTTTATTCATTTAATGGAATTCGATAAAATGAGTTTGTTTGTCTTGATTATAGTCAATAGTTTACAAATTCATAGCATGGCACCGTTCAAGCATATGTACAAGTAATTAATATATCACAAAATGCTACTACTACATAAGTACATTCATATCTAACAAAATGATCCTTTTTCAGGATGAAGGAAAAGGTAGAATGGAGGAATTATTTTGTCCCCTATATGCTCAACAGTGGTCACAATATGCAGATGCTTGTAATCTACATTTCAACAAATTCAAAAGTAATCAACTATTTGACCACTTAAAAATCTTAAGTAATAGTTAATAACAACTTGCAATTACATTACACTTGAACCTTCTAGAAGCACTTCAAGACTGTAGTACATAACTATATTGGCATCATGTTCAAAATCAGTAAATAACCTAGAATATTAAAGCGCAACTAAAGTCAATATTTTAAATCTTGTTCTGCAATGCAACTAACAACGCAGAAATTAAATATTAAAATATGATGTAGCATATGCTGCATATGAATAGGAAAGAGTTACCTAAAACTTTTCCAGATTAACAAGAAAGAAATAGACTACTTGCACAACGACAATTTTACAATGCAGATAAAGAAACAATAATGCACGACATTGCTAAGTTACTCAGTGATCTTGAAATGCACCCACCTTGCTGATCACTTGCATTCAAGCCCTTCAACCTTTCCAGAATCTCATCCGTGATCTTTTGTTTCAAGTGCTGGGGCAATTCAAGTATACTTTCTTCACTAGAGAATTCCTCCTTTATTTTTTTCACCTATACCACAACATTGTACTCTCTCCATTACACTACATTTAACCAATTGACTAACTATGAATAGCATAGAAAACCCAAATAAATACCCACAACTCGAATTCAACAAATCAAAATTTTCAACTTTCCAAAAATTACTGCACTATAATTGCTACAAAGACCCCAAAATCTAAAATAAATCTTACCAATTCAACAAGTTCTATGGGTTCCAATTCCTTTCGTATCCGAATTGATTCTTCCATTTTTCTAATCTGATCTGGGGTGTACCTAAAATCTGTATAGGGAAAGCCCATCATCAAGCAAGCAATGAATGAACAATAAAGGAACAACACATTGTACTTAGTCATCTACAAAAACCCAAATCAGCAAAACCACTGAACTGGTACCTTTTTCTTTTTGTGGATCGTTATATGGGTAGATGTAAAGAGAAGTATAGAGAGAGCGGAGAACATAGAGAGCAACACCGATGTTGAGTATACAAATGATGAGAGCGGTTCGCTTGTAGGAATACCATTTGCCTCTCCCACATCCCCACTCTGCCCTCGCCATCTTCCTCTGCTCTCTTTCTCAATTTCGTCTCCATCCCATCATCTCCTCTCCCTCTCTCTCTCTCTAACTTTCTCTCTCTATATTTATATATCTCTCTCTTCCTCTTCAAAAACCCAGAAGAAATTGGAGAATGTTCCTTGAGATTATTGGATGATATCGATCTTCCTCTGTTTTCTTCTTCAACTTCGTCTCCAACCCATTATCTCATCTCTATCACTCTAATCATGTTTCAACAAAAACCCACAAAGGGAAAATGTTACTCGAGATTCTTCTTCCCTCCAACGGATCAGTCGATCGATTGAAGCAATCAAATGATTCTTCTGTTTCGGGGGTCGCCAAATTGTGCTTTTGCTTCAAAATAAAAGGGATTTATCTGCGCTAAAAGAACAGTAAAGCAAACAAAATACTACTACTGTAGTTTAATCATTATTATACTTATGTGGGATATGTAGGTAATATAATATTAGGTACATATTATTATTAGGTGCCAATAAAATTTTTTGTTTTCAAATTAGGTGCTAATATTAGATATCTAGGATATTAGGTGCTAATCTATCATGTCATTACTATGAGCTGATTGTACTCACTTGTTTGCAATTTGATGATTAATAAAACTATAAAATATTATTGGAATATTAGGTATGGTTAAGTTGGGACATATAGGTTGGCAATGATGGTTTGGTTGGTTGATACCTGTCACACTTAATTATAAAATGCTTTTTTTAAACCTAATTATACTATGCTAAGATGCTTGGGATCTTATATCGGGTGAGTTGGGCGGGCATTGCTAGTGAAATTCATATTATAGAAAATTAGAAGAGAATATTTTATCAAATGATCTTCACCTATTTTTAAGAAATATTTTAATGTAAGAAGAAGATGATGATACATTTATTATATTTAGTAAACTTACTTGGAAGCTTGAGTAAGCTTCTCCCTTATGAAATCACTCCAGTTCATTCTAAAAATTAAAGAATCTCAAAACAACTGATAATACATAAGCACGGAATACAAAAAGATAATAACAAAAGAATTAAAAGCGAAAAGAAATGTTAAATCTAAATTAAACCCAATCATTTATTAATCCATAAACTTCATTTATTACAGCTCGGGAATTTTGTAAATCAAGAATCCCTAAATCAAAATCCCAAATCTCATCAATGACATAAATAAATATAAAGTTTAGATAATAACTAAATCAAGTAAATCAGAATAGTGGATGATGAATGAAATCTTTAATCTGCTGAGTGTTCAACCCTATGACTGGAACTAAGAAGGACCTGAAATATATCAACAAATGTAGGTTAAACCCACGAGCAAGTCCTCTCTATTACGACCCAATTAGATAACGGATAAACTAGTTATCTCTAACCGAAACCAGCCTAATAACAAATACTACACACAAAATAATAAATACATGATATGTATAGGGAACTCAATCATAACCGTGAGAACAAAGAGATACACACGATGTATAGGCCCTCACCATATCTGGGAGAACATCAAGATACACATGGTGTATAGGTCCTCTACCATGCACAGAGAGTCGATCTCCTATACATAAAATAACTAGACAACTCAAACAGAGCTAAACAACTCACATACCCAGACAATTCAACCATTTCCAGTGAGACTGCATTTATTAGTCAGCGCACGCCTGAAAGTTTAGACCACATACCTTGACAACTCAACATGTCCAATGGGTAAAAGTGAAACTGCATTTATTAGTCAGCTCACGTGGTTTCCTCAATGCATAAATGATAATTATCATTTAACAACTTATAAATTGAATTAATTCCTCTACAATATAAATTCCATTACACAAGATACTTCCAATGTGATTAATATCACTTAACATAAATCACATTATGATTAGTATCATTTATCGCACTCCACAATAAAATTCCAATATGATTAATACCATTTATCATTAATCTAGAGGAATACCTATGATTAGTATCATTTATCAATATGAATGAATAATTATGATAAACATCATATATCACAAAACACAATACAGTTCCAATACGATTATTATCATTTATCAAATTATACAATTTAACTTCAATATGATTAATATCAATACACAATACAATTCCTATATGATTACTATCATTTAACATTGGGCAAGAATAATTATAATTAATATCATCAATCACAAAACCTTACACAACTTAAATAAGATTAATATCATTCTTCGCACCAACACCATGCGTTTTATTTATCCATCCATCTTTATAAATTTTCAGGTAACATAACACCTTACGTGAATTATTCTATAGTCGAGCCTAAAGGTCCAGGGGCAGCGCCCTAAAAATCAGAAAACACCTAATAATCGTTATCTCAAATCTTAACGTTCCGGGAATTTTATCGAGTTTTAGTGTACCGAAATTAGTTCCGAAAATAAGCCTAAAAATAAAGTTTCTCTGTGTGACACCCCAAATCCCGTGATTTGGTTTATCAAATGAAATAATCCGAAAGTCGACTCGACAACGAGTCCTGAGTGCGGAAGCAAAGACAAAAATGGTTAAGATGAAGTCTAGGGTTAAAATGGTCTTACAGGTGTACTAAGGTGATGATGTTAGTATAAGGTGCTCGTTAGGGTCTCATTAGTCATTACTAAGCATGCATGGTCCATATAGGTTGAGGATGGATGAAGAGGAAGAAGACCAAATGGTACCCAACATAGGGGCTGTGAGCACTTGGTGGACACTGTGCAAGCGCTCACGCAATGCCCTGGATGCTCAAGCAAGCGCGCAAGGGTGCATCGAGCACCCGTGGCTGGACGAGGCCTGAGCACTTGAAGGCTGTGGACAAGCGCTCGATATTACTAGTTCGCCACTTGTGAACAGTAATCGAGCCAAAAGTGAAATTTTCCAAAAATTTCTAATTTCCCCCTTTCTACCCAAAAATGATCCCTAAGGTCTATCCTAAGCAAAATTTAAAGTATGAAATGAATTAAAAATGCACAAAAGTGTATGAATGAATCCAAGCATACATTAGGATAGAAAATGGTACTTTTAAACATACATATTGAAATAAAGTGGCCCTTGGCCTCATAAAAATACATACAAGGCATTCAAAAGAGAGTGCTAGAGTGGAAATGACTCGGGAACTCCCAAAAGGAAGTCAATGAGTTCCCGGTCCATTTTCTCCCTTCAAAAAAGATTATACAACGCCCCAAAAACAATATGTTTAAGAGGTTACATCATATCTATCAAATACATTACATATAAGTTATCTTAAAAAAAGTTCAAAAGTAAACATAAAACATCCACTAAGAAGATGATACATCCAAGTAGAGCACTTCTTTACCTGAAAAACATTTAATCAGCGGGAGTGAGTAATTTAAATTACTCCATAGGAAAATGAAAAATAAGGATAACTTAGGGTTTCATTGGCCTTATAAGAATAACATAGGATAAACAAGTGTGGTACATGCCTCCTACTCATCTATTCCAAGGGTGAAACTAAATAATCATCCTAAAACTAGCATGTGAAATAAGATAAGAGAATCATACTCAAGCACAAGGATAATGCCATATATAAACAATAATGGCAAATGATCCAAGCTACAACCACACAAGAATGTCAACTTGGAAACTAAATACGAAATAACATAGTATGGATAACTTGGACGCACATACCATACTAGCCATACCTACTGCATGAACTAGCAAAACAGTCATTCTCGGTTTACTAAACCGCATAGGACAAAACCTAATAGCCATTATACATTTGGGGAAACTCTTATCTCTCTCATTAGCTCCGAGCCCTAACATTCTCAAGAATAGTGTCCTAAGAATCAACAATCATTTCCACAAAGTATCATATACATTTCAATTCAAATGATACATTCCACGAATGCAACAAGGTATCAATTCACACAATCATGGCCTAGGTCCTCAACATTAAGTGATGAGTGCTGAAAAGTGCGCATTTAAACCCCTTAAGCTTGAGTATTGTAGGACTTTTATCTATCTTACTTTTTCGTTTTAGACTAATTTTATGTTATTGCCCTTTTCAGGCACTTATCCCCAAAATAAGCTAATTCAGCCAAATTAGAGCATAAAAGAAGCAATCTCAAGCTTAATGGAATAATAGAGCAAAGTGGAAGCAAAGTGGTGGAAATCTGCAAACTTCGATCGATCAGGAATATTTTCGATCGATCTCACATTGATCGATCTAGCCATTTCAAGATGGATCCAATCATTTGTCCTTATCCAAAAGAATTCACCATCTTCGATCGATCCAACTTTTCTCAGATCGATCAAACTTCCTTGATCTTATCCCCATCTACCACTTTTGTCTTTATCCCAAAATATCCCAAAAAATCTCAGATTTGTCTTTATTCTAAAAGGCGCCGCTAAGGATGGATCGATCTCGCCAATATTGGATCGATCTCACCAAAGTTCGATCAATCTCATTTGAACTCGATCGATCGAACCTCCTCAAGTCTGAATTAAAACAGAGTCCAGCTTATTAAAAGATGGCTCATGGTGCAATCATTGAAGGGACCTTAGTGCACGAGTCTAAACCATTAGGTGTGACACTTGAGCCTCCTATATAAGGATTTGGAGCCATTTTAAAAGCATAATTCATAAAAATTCATTGATCTTCATATCATATATCATTTATCTTGGAAAGGAGGCTAGAGCTTAGAAAGACATACACTATTCTTGGGAGTTCTTCCATTCTTCTAGGGTTCTAACCAAGGAGAAGAGCATTTCTACCATGGAGATAGCCCTTGAAGGTTGGATGACTACATCAATGAGTGGCTAAACATCTTCTTGGGGCTAGAGTTAGCCCCAAGCATGCCTTCTAGGCCTTAATGCTATGTATTTTGAGGGGATTTGTGTAATACCCCTAAATTCAAAAGGATAGGTTTGGTATTTAATTAATTGTTTATTTTACATTTTTAAATTGATTAAGTGTGTATTTGCATTAATTGTTAAATTATTTGATTTAAATGTGTTAGTTGGGTGTTTAAATTTCATTTATTTGCTTATTTGATTTATTTTATTTTAATTCAATTAATTGTGTATTTGTTTTCTTTAATTGATTGTTTAAATTTATTTTCTTGCATTAACTGTTAAATTGTATTTCTCTTGTACATGCACGTATAAATTTAAAAACGCTAACCGACTTAGGTAGTGGATGGATTCTAGGGTTTTATGTTTGAACGTAGCCGACTTAGGGTTGGTGTAGGATTTAAATTAGGGTTTCAATTAAAACCTATAAATATATAAGTATAGGTCTGCCAAGGGTTTTGGTTAACCCTATTCACGTAACAGAGTCCTACAGAGAGTTATGAGAATAGAGAGAGAGAACAGAGAAAGAAAGGTTAGGGTTGGCTTAGAGTCAAGGGTTGAACCAAGGAGGAGGTGTTGATGCATGCTCGTGG